ATTCATTTTAATGTAATTTTGAACACTATGTTTATAAATGTATTCCCCCTCCCTCCCCCCCCTCCAAAAAAAAAGGTAATTGAAATAAAAAATATTACATTGTGTAAACAGTATGCTACCTAGTGAATTAATAATATTCATTCTGCACAAATCTGATCTGTGCATGTATATACAGTGAACCTGCTACATGTATACAGTGGACCCCCGACATTCGATAAATCCGACATTCGATGCATTTTAACACAAAAATTTCGCCTCGACATTCAATGGAAAACCCGACATTCGATACGATTCGTACGAGACGTGTCCATGTGTGGCCTGAACTGCACTGTGTGTGCCAGTGTTTACAAGCCAGCCAGTATGCGCGCATCTAAGGATACATTCAGTACATTCCATATTATCCATATTATCACTGTTTTTGGTGCTTGTTTCTGCAAAATAAGTAACCATGGGCCCCAAGAAAGCTTCTAGTGCCAACCCTTCGAGAAAAAAGGTGCTAATGACTATTGAAATGAAGAAAGAGATGATTGCAAAGTACGAGAGTGAAGTGCGTGTGTCGGAGTGCATGATGATTTGGTAAAGAAATTGCCTACAACTAGTGGTGATGTGAGTGAATTTAAGGCCAGCAAAGGTTGGTTTGAAAGATTTAAGAATCGTAGTGGCATACACAGTGTGGTAAGGCATGGTGAGGCTGCCAGTTCAAGTCCTAATGGAAGGGGATTTCCCTTCTAAACACTAACACCATCCACACACTCCCCTCCTCCCATCCCATCAATCATCACCAGATCTTCATTAAAGGTAAGTGTCAATTATTCTATTATTAATCTATTGTTATTGTTATTGTAATTATTCTATTGCATTAAACTTAATATTTCATGTGGTAAAAAAAATTTTCATACTTTTGGGTGTCTTGCACAGATTAATTTGATTTCCATTATTTCTTATGGGGAAAATTAATTCAACTTTCGATATTTTCGACATTCGATGGCTCTCAGGAACGGATTAATATCGAATGTCGGGGGTCCACTGTATAGGTAATATTTGATTTGATGGTTGGGTCACTTTTGCAACACTTTGGTATCTTTATTGTGGAAACATGTCACCAACCAGTGGCTTCCTCAGTCCAGTACAGATGAATGATGGAAGATGAGGAGTATTTTGAGATAATCAGTCCCTCAGCCTTGAGTTGATGTGTTCAATCTATCAGTCTTGATCAAAGTGCATCATATGCATGGCCAAAATGCCTAGCCATGCTAGGTGTTCTAGTGGTACACTCTGTAATTATTATTTTACTACATGTAAACCACACAATAACCAAATTCTGTAAACTCAGCATTGTAATCCTTATAGAGAATAAACTTTGAATATACTGCAGGCAGGTGAGTTGAACAAGTCGTAGGTGGTGTCACCATGGACGAATCCACAGGTAGAAGTGGGTTATGTCTGTAGGTTAGACAAGCATAGACTTCCCTGTATCAAGATCCCAAGATGTTGCTGTGTTTGACAGGAATTATAGATAAATGGTTCAGAGAACCAACAAAGATACCCAACTGTTGCATAAGTATCTCAGTCATCAGATTATTGGTTCTGTGAATCATTTATCTACAAAATTTTATTTATACCTCAGACTTAGGGTAACTCAGTGTTTTTTAAATTACTGGATACCTCACCCACCATAGAAGTGACAAATGGTAGCTACCTCTGTCATGTTTTGATCTGTCTGATTTTTGATAAACAGACTTATTTTGAGGTAAAACAAGGACAGTCTTATGTATAGATGAAATGCATTAGGGCCAGTGCTTGGCCAGCACTATCTTGTGATGGTGCATTTTCCTAGTTTTAAAGTTTCTGTAAGGATATGACTATAAGGCATGTCTGTGGGCTGGTTTGGTGTAAAACTTAATTACTTTGCTCTTTGGCCACACAACTCTAGTCTCTTCCAACTATTTCTAGATGCTCATAACAATTTTGCTCTTTCCATTAAATTCAAAGCTGAATGGGAATCTCTCTGCTTCCTTTCCTGGAATTACATGTCCATTGCTTGGCTACAAGCTTTTCTTTTTCTGTTTATCGCACACCAACGCACAGTGGTATGTATATTCACTACTTTTCTTGTCATGCTCCCTCTGTCAAGAAATAGGGCCATATCCGTACTGGGACCCAGTTAGGAACTGAAATTCCAAAATCTAGCAAGACAGTATTTTTCTTTAAATGGCCTCAGTTAGTATCCCACATCTCCAGTTACTTCCTTTGGTTCATCTTGTGAAAATCAGTGTTAATGTGTTATAGCCATTTTGAAGGAAATGTGGAGGATTTTCCTCTTATGGGTTCTATTCACAATGCTTTCCGAATAGCATTCACTGAGGGCACACAAAGTGAAGCATTCTGGCAGTCTCACTGGTTCATCAAATACTGTAGTAACAGTGGCTGTGTAGTGAGTATCTACAGGTGCTCCTCAGCTTACAATGGGGTTACTTTCCAACAAAATCATCATAAGTCAAATACAAATATGATATGATAAATAAATAACTACTGTCACTGTATAAGTAAATAAAATAATTACTGTAACTAAATACCAGTATTGAAAAGTAAATAAATGAATGCAAGTTACGGACTTACTACCTTGATGTTGGGTAATTATCATAAGTCGAACCATCATAAGTCAAGGAGCACCTGTAGTCTTTTCTCACATTCCAGGCCACCCTATTGGAAGCACCTAGACATTATGTTCATTTGTTCATCTAGAGAACTGTAAGGACCTGTTCATTAAGTGATTGATTAAATGAAATCATTCCCTAAAGTATCCTTAAAAGCTGATGAAAATTATGCTAAATGAGCAGTTGCTAAAAAGAGAATTACTGAAGTAGCCACAATATTGGATTGGTCAGGACTGCAAATGTTTACATATATGCATGAGCGTGTTTGATAGGAGTGAATGGAGATGAATGGTATTTGGGACCTGACGATCTGTTGGAGTGTGAGCAGGGTAATATTTAGTGAAGGGATTCAGGGAAACCGGTTATTTTTATATAGCCGGACTTGTATCCTGGAAATGGGAAGTACAATGCCTGCACTCTAAAGGAGGTGTTTGGGATATTAGCAGTTTGGAGGGATATACAAATAACCGCACATAAAAGAGAGAAGCTTACGGCGACGTTTCGGTCCGACTCGGACCAATGGTCCAAGTCGGACCGAAACGTCATCGTAAGCTTCTCTCTTTTATGTGCGGGTTATTTGTGTATCGTTCCAGTCATGGTATTGTGCCTTTTTTTTTATTTTTGGAGGGATATGTTGTGTATCTTTATATGTATATGCTTCTAAACTGTTGTGTTCTGAGCACCTCTGCAAAAACAGTGATTATGTGTGAGTGAGGTGAAAGTGTTGAATGATGATGAAAGTATTTTCTTTTTGGGGATTTTCTTTCTTTTTGGGTCACCCTGCCTCGGTGGGAGACGGCCGACTTGTTGAAAAAAAAAAAAATTTATGATGTTGCTTTAGAGCAGATGTTTAGTGTATGATGTTGCCAAGATATTGTTATTGTTACAAGTTTAGTGCTTAATTTTACTTTTATAATAATTATCTCTTTATCCACAGTTATCCCTTTATTTACAAGTCTTTTATTTTTTTAATCTGTATTTTTCCCCACATTGGCTGTTCCCCACTAAGGATGAGTAACTCAGAGAAGGAAGTTTGTTCACCATCCCTCATTCAAATGGTGTCTTGCAAAGACATGTTCAGGCATCGCTCCCCAAATGACTTCCCAACCGCATCATCTCCACCCATTCTTCCCACCTCCAGAGCTCAAATTTAGCTGTATTATAAACCATGGAACAGGTGGGGTTTTACCCATGGTGAGCGAGTCATAAAACAACTCGCTTGCCATGGATTCAAACCCCACCCGTTCTGTGGTTTGTTTGCAATCATGTTGTTACGATTTTGTGAGTCATGTTGGCTGTATTATATTTGTGTATATACAAATAATCCCAAGTAAAGAATTCTACCCTTAGATTTTTGGTAATTTAATGCAAAATAGGTTGTGTTTAGCCCTTAGTTTTGATTGTAAGAATTATGATAATGCAGAATAGGGAGTAACCAGCCCCTCTTCCTTATACCTTGGTAATGTAGTTGCTTTTTGTGATACAGTTACAAAGGAAATACTCTACTGTATTCTAACTTGCTTGTCCCAAGGGGTTGAAGTGAGAAGTTACAAAAGCCTGAGAAATTGATTCCAGAAAGTAAAGTGATAAATTTTGAAAAATAGATTTAAATGCACACATCTGCCAGTTACATTCAATGCCAGAAGTCCTTATGTTGGTGGAGGACTTGTGTTTAGATGAAACTGTGAATGAGAGAGTGCTTCTTGGGGGTAACCCAGCCTGGAGAACAAGATCCCTGACTTGCATATACAAGTACTGGTAAATAGAAGCAAGTTGTTCATACTAGTAGATACATGGAAAGGAGAATAAGGCCCCAAAGTTATATACAGTATACAGGTAGATAAATTGATGGTAAGGTATCAGAAAATCAAGGTTCAGAGTTGTACATACTGATAGAGGTAGATGGAATGGTGAAGGATCAGAAAATCAAGGTCCCAGAGTTGTACATACTGATATGGATAGCTGGAATGGTGAAGGATCAGAAAATCAAGGTTCCAGAATTATACATACAGTGGACCCCCGGTTTACGATCAGCTCCCAATGCGACCAATTATGTAAGTGCGTTTGTACGTGTAGGTTTGGGGGTCTGAAATGGACTAATCTGATTCACAATATTCCTTATGGGAACAAATTCGTTCAGTAATGGCACCTGAACATACTTCTGGAATGAAATAATATCGTAAGCCGGGGGTCCACTGTACTAGGTAGATGGAATGGTGAAGGATCAGAAAATTGAGTTACCAGAGATGTACATGTAGATGGAATGTTGAAGGGAGATAAAACAGCATAATCTCTTGTTCTTTTTCAACTAATAAGCCCATTTTTTTATTTTCTCCATTACAGGAATCGAGAGTAAACCGTGTTAATAGCTGGAAGGACTTCCAGAAGGGAAAATCTGCGAAAAAATTCAAAGGGTTCAAGCCCCCAAAGCATAAGGCCGAGGCAAGAGATTAGCAAGATATGTTAGGAACTTTCCTGTGTTAAGCTTTCGTTCTTGACTTGGTGGTGTGAATCCAAGAAAGTCATTACAAATATCAGTATCACCAACATACTGTTATGAGCTGCTCTTGGGTGTGACGTACATTATAAGTATTTAACATTAATATTAGTGAAGATTGTACTTTTCCAGTGTTCCAGTGGTGACTTTTTAATTCATTTTCATGGTTTACTATTATTAATGAAAGAGTCAATAAAGTATTGAACAAACACCATTGGGGAGAAATTGTTTTAATTATAAATTTTCACAAGGAACTTAATGATAATACGAAAATCAATAAACATTAATTTGTTGCGTTAGAGTCCACTCGCTCAATAAATTCTAATTACTGTACCATAATTAGAAATGGTATAGGAAATTTTCTTAGACCTTTTTTATACAAAAATGCTAGTTTAAATCGTGCGATGTTATTTGCCAATTTAAATTAGCAATTAATAACTTATCTGATACCTTCCAATAACAAAATATTTTGTGTGTGAAACATTCTCTTTTCATCGAAGATAATTCTTCGACGTTCTCAGCAGTTGGGAAGCTAAGACAGCAAGACATCTCGTTTTATCTTTCGTATGCAACCAAATTCTGTTTCATAATTGGCAAACTATGTATGTATAATAAATTTTGCTTGTTTTGTGAGACCAGTTGTTTTATAGTTTTATTTTATATTGAGCAAGACCACAGAAATATGCTTAGCATTTAAGGTCTTGTTTTGATTTTCCCCATTAACAAATTTTTTTGTACCTTAATATTGAAATAGCAGGTACAGTACCTACATTTGTGTACAGATATTTGAATTATCCAGTGCAAAATTGTAAAGATAACACAAAGGTATTTTTGTACATATATATATATATATATATATATACAGTATATATATACATAGGAAACTGTGTCATTTGATAATTGATTATGCGAAATTAATTAAAATTTGAGAAAGATTGAGTTATTCAAAAGTTATTATATTTGATTTACTCCTATAAGAACTTGTAAATATTTTTTTTACACATATGTTTTGGTTTGAGCATGGCAGTTAAATGTTTTAAAGTAGTGTTTAAGAAATCAGTTTCTCTGGATTTTATGAACTATTTATAAGACTAAACATCTGTTGTTAAACCTCCTATTACACTAGTTAATCTATCACTTTTTGCCCAGTAAGTTATTTGTTATCTTAGAGTACCTGTACACCTTTGCTGTCACCTTTACTGACTTCACAGACCACCTCACCTTCAGTCCCTATAGCCTAACGAGGAGCAGCTGACATGGGGAGGTGGCAGGCACTCTGCTTCATGGAAAACCCCACAGAAATTTGTTTTTCATATTGGTCTGATTCACTGAACCATTTATAAGAATCCTGCCATCTTTATTAAATGTTAAGGAGGAAGCAGTTGAAGGTATTAAATAGGAAACTAAGTGCAGTGACACTTAAACAGGAAACTTGATCTGTAGTATGGACAGTTTCAGAAAACAAAATTGCTAGACAAACATATTGGTGTGGATAAAAGCAGGGGGTTAGAAATATTTGGTATTTGGAGTGACATCTAAACTGTTGCATTTACATGCCTCTGGCAAGACAGTGATAGTGTGAATGATGATGAAAGTGTTTCTTTTGCAGGTCACCCTGCCTTGGTGGGAGATGGCCAGCATGATTAAAAGCAAAAACAAAACAAGTAGAAAATCTCATTATGAGCCTGAGCAAATCTCTGAATCCTGAGTTAGGAATTGGCTTAAGCTTGAAAAAATCCTGATTACAGTAATCATACATACACGAAGAACAGATATATAACATCACAAGCAACCTTTTGAAATAAAGTACATCAACCAGGAACTCAAACTTCTCTGTGGAGAACTAATATCAGGATTTAGAGACCCATCTGACTTAAGCTTTGTGGTTTGGAAAACAGTTGTCTAGGCAACTTACTCTTCCCTCAATTTTTTGCTAATGTGAGCTATAAGCTGTGACTATAACAACGTCAAAATGGAATACCATGACATTCTTTTCACAGTCTAGGTTGCACCAGATCAGATGCCCAGAGGATCAGTCTGTCATCTTTCCTTGCTAAGCCAGTGCTCATCTTAATCCAATGAAGGATCCGGGGAAGGGGGGGGGACATGGACCTGCTCCGCATGGGTCAGTGGGCCTGTTGCAGTGTTCCTTCTTTCTTATGTTTTTCTTAAAAGGACAATCATTGCTTCCTAATAAATTTTGATATCTGAGTGATGAAACATCCAACCCTTCCCTCTAAATAAATGTCCTTAGTGCAAAGCATCAGAGGTGCTAGTGAACACTGAAGAGTCAAGTACCTTAAATAATGGGATGTTGATCACCCAGGGTGACAAGTTGAGAGGTGTGTTACCATAATGATGTAAGAAGATTGTTGTACTTGTATTCTTCATGCCCTCCATCCCCTCAAGGAAGGTTCCTTGATGCTGGTGAGGGGCTCTTGATCTAGGGAATTGAATCTGTGCTCCAGTTCCCTGATTTGCGCCTGAATGCCTTCCATCCCCCCCCCTCAGGCACTGTATAATCCCAGTGGGTTTAGTGCTTCTATAATAATAATCAAGCCCACCATGATGAGCTCCAGAACATTATTATTATTATTATTATGGGGAGCACTAAACCCATAGGGATTATACAGCACTTGGCCTAATTCAGAGAAATGAAGCACAGATCCAATTCCCTAGATCAGGAGCTCCTCACCAACATCAAGGAACCTTCCTAGAGGAGTCTAGAGGAACATAAGCAGCCAGTGCCAGAGACCCAGGCACTGGTGTATGCCAGTATTATACCCAGGAAGATACGAGTCTAGAGATAGTATTCAGACCTCAGGCAGGGTTAGTGAAGAGATTCCTCTGTAGTGTTTCTTGGCCATAGCTTGGACAGGAGAGAGATTCCTGTAAAGTTGTCAATAGCCAGAAGAAATACCACTTTTTGTGTAAGGTATGCATTCTATATTTTAAGAAAAAACTGATGACTCCATGAATAAGAATTTGCACAGTTTATAACTGTACTGATTGTAATAAGAGAATTTCCTGAGAAGGAAGGGGTATTTATTTTTTTTTTTTTTAACAAGTCCGCCGTCTCCCACCGAGGCAGGGTGACCCAAAAAGAAAAAAATCTCCAAAAAGAAAATACTTTCATCATCATTCAACTCTTTCACCTCACTCACACATAATCACTGTTTTTGCAGAGGTGCTCAGAACACAACAGCTTAGAAGCATATACGTATAAAGATACACAACATATCCCTCCAAACTGCCAATATCCCGAACCCCTCCTTTAGAGTGCAGGCACTTTACTTCCCATTTCCAGGACTCAAGTCCAGCTATATAAAAATAACCGGTTTCCCTGAATCCCTTCACTAAATATTACCCTGCTCACACTCCAACAGATTGTCAGGTCCCAAATACCATTCGTCTCCATTCACTCCTATCTAACACGCTCATGCACGCCTGCTGGAAGTCCAAGCCCCTCGCCCACAAAACCTCCCTTACCCCTTCCAACTTTTTCGAGGACGACCCCTACCCCGCCTTCCTTCCCCTACAGATTTAAATGCTCTCCATGTCATTCTACTTTGAGGTATGTTTCCTATAAACAATAATTTGAAACACTGCTGAGTGACTGACAAGGCTAGAAGATCTTTCAAGATTATCCAAGCATATCCTTGGTAGTATGTCATTAATATGTTATGATCCCCATTTTTTAAGTACGCACACTAGTAAGTAACATCACTATAAGATGCACCAGCTTTTAAAGATTAATTCATTTGAAAAGAAACACACTCAAATTATCACATAGAAAAAATACCCTATAATTTGCTAAATAAAATTGGCACAGAGACATGATAACACCTGTGTTGATAGTTTGAAGCCAATCAAGAGAGATGTTCTTTAGCTCACACAAAACACTAGGAAATTGAAAGAAGCAACAAACTCCCACAACCACTGTAGGCTTCTCTTTGTTGGAGATACCTACCATAATAAATAATTATTCTTTAATGTAAGCTAGGTATATGCTTATTTAAAACTCAGAATTGACAAGGAAGATATCGATGCCGGCTTGATGCTGAGTGATTAATTATGAGGTAGGCCTATGACTAAGCAATAATTTTTATAGAATCATATTGTCCGTGAACTGTGTGGTAGAAATGTAAGGTTGTGTTGTAAGACTATGAGAAACACTATTCTTCAAAGTTGATATATCAGTAAGTAATGGAAGAATTTTTTAGTGCTGCATCAACCACCAAATCAACAATATGCATGCTCATAGGAATTCACATCTCTGCTGAAGTTCTGTTTCAGCTAAGCACGCTAGACAACTTCTTCCTCTCACTCAAATGAAAGAAATGAAACCAAAATTATGAAAGTAAAAAAATTTCCTCAGGAGTATTGGGGATCACACTGTTATGGCTTAGTAATGGTTCGGTCCCCAATACTCCTTACATGATTTATTAATATCCGCCATTATGGAGGAGCAATTAGAATGGCTACATAATCAAGTAATGTTCTTCATACTTTTAGTGAAGTTTTTATAGAAGGGAAGTAGCAAAGGAACACTGGAGGTATACAGATGATTTTCTGGGCAAAAAAAGTGGTAATAGTCTCTATTTACTGGCATATTAGGTGGTCTATAAACAGGGTGCCATTCCTGTAAATGTTCATGGAATCTGACTACAAGATAGGTTTATAAAATTTTAGTCCAGTAGGTTCCCAACTTTTTTTATATTGAAAGGTTACTGTGAAACAGGAAAAAAATCAAATTGTACAAAATTAAGTTGTAATAATGATAATGAATATACTGTATTAAGAGTTATTGGAGATATACTGTGTTCACTTTTTCTGTTTGCATACAAGTGAGCAATTTTCAAAGATGTTTACTGTATGTGACAGTTGCTTGTTTCTTTCACTGCAAACCTTGATTAGTGAGATCTTAATTTTTATTTAAACCTTGTTATCTCTGAAATTTCTGGAGGCTCTAGGAAGGGTAGGGGATGTGTAGACCTAGTGTTTACAGTGAAACATATAGGTGAACAGTTTAGATAAGGGTAAAGAAGTTTTTGTTGCATTTATGGATTTAGAAAAGGCATATAATAGGGTGGATAGGGGGGCAGTGTGGCAGATATTGCAAATGTATGGAATAGGAGATAGGTTATTGAGAGCAGTAAAGAGTTTTTATGAGGATAGGGAGGCTCAGGTTAGAGTATGTAGGAGAGAGGGAGATCATTTCCCAGTAAAAGTAGGCCTTAGACAGGGATGCATGATGTCACCATGGTGGTTCAATATATTTATAGATGGAGTAGTAAGAGAAGTGAATGCTCAGGTGTTGGCAAGAGGTGTGGGGTTAAAAGATAAATAATCTAACAAAGTGGGAGCTGTCACAGTTGCTTTTTGCTGATGACACTGTGCTTTTAGGAGATTCTGAAGGAAGTTGCAGAGGTTGATTGATGAGTTTGGTAGGGTATGTAAAAGAAGGAAGTTAAAAGTGAATATAGGAAAGAGTAAGGTGATGATGATCAAAAAAAATTAGGTAATGGAAGATTGTATATCAGATTGGAGGGAGAGAATATTGAGGAGGTGAATGTGTTCAGATATTGGGAGTGGATGTGTCGGTAGATGGGTCTGTGAAGGATGAGGTGAATCATAGAATT